TCGTCACTTTGAGTGTGGCTCATTTTTTCGTTCGATGACTGTTAATATATAACTATCAATGTGTCTAATTGGTTGATTCCAATTATACAGGTGTACTGGTTTGTATTTATTTTGCTTTTTTATTCTTCTTTTTCCTCTTTTTGATGAATTTGAAGTTGTTTCTGAGTCAGGGCTTCGACCCACTTCCGACCCAAACTTCCCTTTGAACTATTTTGAGATATCCATATTCAGCTGACGGACCCTAAAATTTTTCTAAAGGTGCCTTTGGCGCCAATATATACTAACTTTGAGGGGGGAACGCGCGCCAAAAAATGCTATTTTTTGGTCAAACTTTCCAAAAAGTGCTTAAAAACGCTTTTTTTGGCCAATGCTTTTCAAAACTTTGCCTGCGGCGCAGAAAATTTGGCAAAAACACGGAGCGCGAAAAGTCTTTTTGGTTGTCCTAAAAAAAGTCGACAAAGTTTTTGAAAATTTTTTTGAAATCCCCCTCCCCCTTCGCGAGAAAATCCTAGGCCCCTGAACTACATAATCAAAAGTTAAATTTTTGTTTTCCTTTAAAAATTCCGTTACAAATTCCGGCCAGAAACGAGAACGAAACATAGCCAACAGAAGCTTGAAAAAGTCAAAGAACTCAATGAAAAAAAAACGACTGACTGTTTGTGAAAAAATATCGAATTCACAAAAACCTACTGGATCGAAAGATAAACAATTTTTTCCGCTGGAAAATCTATTAATTAAAACCCGCTTTTGAATCTCAAAATCAAATAAGTTTTTTTTGCTCCATTTCCGATTTCTTTATTGGAGAGCGTTATTTACCTTCCTCAATAAATAAACATAAAAAATAACAACCTCATTAAGTGTCTTCAAGACAATCATTATCCTTTAAAAAGTGAAAAAAAGTTGCAAAGATGTCATTCTTGAAGGAGCCCAAATAAATTATTATTTCTCAGAAGCTTTCAATTTTTGAATTTCGAGAAGCAACATCAGAATAAATCCATTTAAAAATCAAATGATTCTTTTATGATTGATTTTTTTTGGAGAAAACTGGGTCATTAGGCAAATTTTTCTATTTCGCCTTAAAATTCAATTAATTTAGGCTCAATTTGGAAACTGAAAAAAAAATTTCACATTTTTACGCCAATTCCGCTTTTGAAATGAAGATAGTATTTTGTCTTTCTCGTAGCTAAGGGAATTTCAATTGAATTTAACAAACTCAAGCAACGAAAACTCAAACTTGAGCGAGATCAACTTTTAAGATTTTTTCCTGATAAAATAAGCAATCATTGACACTTATTAAGTGCCACAAGAATAGAAACTCATCATAACAAGATATTTTTTTCAAACACTGCTGTTCATTACTGCATAGAAATAATAGAAAAGAAATTAAGCAGTTCGCCTAAGTATGATTCGACGCCGCTTGATCTGGAACGTTTCGCATATGATTCCTTATTTCATTCCTCGATTCGACTCAAGTGTTCATTGGATTGTCTCAAGATGGGTGGATCCCGCACATTTTTGAAAAACTTCGTTCGCTTAAGTTGAACGCCTTATTCCGGATTCCGAAGAGGAGCAAGGTCAAAAACTCTAAATCGTTGAGAAACGTTGACAAACAAATTTCTAAAACAAACTTCTACATTAAGAAAATGCTTCTAACGCTTATGTTACCCTATTTAACCTAGAAAATTGTCGTCTCCTGTAATGAATTATTTAAAATGATTCAGCGCATATGAATACCATAGCAACGAACTTTGTCTTTTACAATACGGGAAATTACCTGAAGATATCGCGAATTACCTGAAGATATCGCGATCGAAATTTATCATGTTGCTCTCTTGATAGCGGTAGACTGTTTCCACATTCTGCCACTATCAAGAGAACAACAAAATATATTGCAAAGGACAAAGTTCGTTGTTATGGTTTTCATATGTGCTTAATCGTTTAATTATTTCTTTAAAGGAGAAGATAATTTTCTCTCTCCTCTAAAATGATGCTTCCCTGATTGATTTATATCACAATTTAGGGTTATATAAATAGTCTTTTACTATACTGGAAGGGTCTTTAAAGTGAAAGATCCCATTAGAGGAAACCATTTTTAACAAAACATGAAGCAAATCGCCTTGTCTCCGATTCAAATTCTACTGAAAAACAAAAAACCAGCATATTTCAAATGAGGAAAGATCGTTCAACAATTTGCTCAAGTTCTCGATCTTCACCCAGAATATTGTCTTAACCCCTGACAAAAATATAAATTTAGAGAAAAAAAATACAAAAAAGTTAAAAGATTGCTGCGCATATTTTGAGTAACTATTGCTTTTCTCAATTAAAAATACCATTATTTCCTAAAATTCAAAAACAGATAAAACTAGAACAATGAAAACTATTTCAAAAAAATAATCCCTTTATAAATATAATCCATATCTCCTCCGGGTCTTTCTGGAACAATTTGATTGTTGATTATTGTTTTCTACAGAAATGTTGCGCTGAATAACATCAATTTTTTAAATTGCAATCACTTGTGAAACGCCTAATCTCGTAAACTGCTCGGTCTCATTACATTTTTGTCCTTAAGGACATATTTTAGGATCTATTGATAGTGCATTTAGGCCTTGTCTCAATGCTAATGGATATGAAGGCGAACATTTGGTAATGTCTTTTACGAATAAATGGGTTCTTGTTTTGCCTTCCGTAAATCCCCTGCAGCTCCAAATTAGAAGCTGAAATGAGATTGTAATTGATCGAATCTGTCACTGAGTTTGGCAATTGGTGCAAAGGATTTAAGCAGATCGGTTTTTTAGCAGACCGGTTTTTTAGCAGACTCAGAACTATTATAAAGTGTGATAGCTAAGTTCAAACGCGGCATAGGCGATTAGCGACTGCTGCGCTTCAATTCAACACGAGTGTAATTGTGCGCGTAAATCTTTGTTTTGCCGCTAATTTAGACTTTTATTTTTTCGAAGCTGATAGTTGTGTTGACAAATCGTGAGATAATTGACGTAATTGGTGAATCTTGGCCCCAGACTCTGCGTCTTTTTGAATGTCAACAAATCATCCATCACTTTATTACGTTGGTCTGCTAAAAGACTCATATTTCAATTTTTATGCTAGATGATTGGTCTGCTAAGCGAACGGTCCGCTTGGCAACTATATAAGCATATAGAATTAGACCCGTAGTGACAAAAATGGATAAAAAATCGATTATCTACAGATAAATATCGCTAAATATACAGATTTTAGATCCTTGTAATTTTATACAGTGAAACTTTGAGTAAATACTTTTAATAATCAAATAAGATTTATTGTGTTTCGGTAAAATTTTAAACTGTATAACTTCAAAAATAACCAAAACCAAAAATCACTGAAATCTTTTTTCCCGTATCAAATACCTGTTTTTTGATGAAGTTTTTGTATATTATTCGAAACGTAAATTGTCTGGAGCTCAATTTTAAAATGATATTTCACTTGTGATTTTCTTAAATTTATGGGGTTTAAAAAGAGCTTTCTAAATGAATTTGGGACAATTAACGCGCGATATGTTTCACGCTATTGATGTGGAAGCAGCAAATTAATCCAGCTTAGAAATCGTTTCTAATTAAATTGAGGCATGCTAAATGGATTATTTAACACGTTCACATATGGGAAACAGTTTAATTAGTACTTTACATAGCGTGTGGAATATGCCTTAAAAAACTCAAAAAAAAGTTTTACCTTTGTTCTTTTTTCTCACTAAATTTCATCATTAAAAAAATGCGAAAACTTCTCCGTAAACCTTCAAAGGCATTCGGAACATTCAGTGCTTTGCTCTGATATAGCAGTCTTAAATGCAGGTTATATACAGGTTACATATAGATGATTTACAGATAACAAACAGATTATCTACAAATTAATTGCAGATTATATACAGTTTTAATACAGATTAAACAGGTTTTATTTTACAGATTGTTTACAAATTTTATACAGTAAACTATTTTTTATCCGACTTTCGAAGAAAGGTCGGACTATTTATGCTTGAGTTTTTTTTTATTTAGTCAACTTTCGACTTCTTAACTAGGCATTTTTGGCCAAAATAGATATTTCACCTGTGATCATTTTTTCTAAAGTTACGGGCGTTTGAAAATAACTAATTAGGTCATTTTGGGATAACTAACGCGCGGCTTAATGCGTTCTTGTAACACGCGTAAGCGACAAACTAACGCGTACCAAAATGAATTGAGGCCAGCAATTTAGCCCTTTTGAAACACTAAAACACGCTGAACACACTCTTTGTGTTTTACATAGCATGTGGTGTGATAAAATTGATTAGAAAATATTTTTCTTTTTTTCGATTACTTCGTCAATTATTCATCTAAAAAACCTTTTAACTGGCCTTAAAAAGCAGCTAGAACATTCAGAGTGTCGCCCTGATATAAGAGCAGTCTTTTTTATACATTAAAATTCATTTAATTTTGGTGAAAAAGACAACATTATGTTTTTATAGAATCGATTATTTCTCGCAAAATAGTTGTAGATAAATTGATTTTTCTACTTCAAATTTTCTGCGTATTTTTTGTATATATTAGATTCTTATCCATTTATGTCACTGCGCGTAGTTGGATTACTATGTAAGAGAATTAGGCTAGTATTTTTTCTATATCGTACACGAGTGTCAGTGTTTTCCAATGTGTTTTTGGAATGGGGTTCAACAATTTGCAGCTTATGTTTTCTGCTTAAAAACTTTTGCAGAAGAAATAATAGAAAGCAAAAAACTCTGAAGCAAATAAAAGAAAAAATTGAAAACCAAAAAAAATCAATTAGTTCATTCTTGTACCAATGAACATGGTCGGAACTTTCGAAGCTATATATTTTCTTAATAACCTACTAACCTACACCCCTTGTTAACTTTGAAAGTTCTTAATTGTTGCTATTTATTTTGAAATCGTAAGTAATTTTCAAATTCGGTAGTTGTGTAATTTTAGCTTTGGAACATAATCTTCATGTTTTTCTTTACAGTTTGTCTGTTTCAGGGAGGTTAGAGCAGGAGCTGGATGTGTTTGAGGTGCTGCGAGTGAAGAAGTGTTCCAGTAAGAGACTGCCTCCTTTCGACTACTACAGGACGGCTAACTGGCTCACTCTAGTACTCATATACTTCAAGGTGAAATTTGTGATCAGAGAAAAAGAATTGCAGAGGAATTTTTTATGGGATGGGGGAGGCGCGTCTTAATGAAAATTATATCGACCTTCAGTCATAAGGTGCACCACTTTGATTTTTGAAGCTGTACCGAAATCCTAAAATGACTCTATTGGGCAAACTAATCAATACCGACTTGCAGGTTAAGCCAGGAACATCCAGCATCTCATCTCAAGAGGCTTCCCTAAGTACACAAGTTTCTTGTTAATAATGAATGAATCCGCAGTTCATATTCATTCTTTTTTGCCAGATTTTGTTCTTCCAAGTGAAATGAAATGGAAAAAAAAATATGCAGGCCGGTCACAATAACTGAAAGAACTGAAAAACGGACCATTTTTTTCATCTAATACCGTGAATAAACCAGACATTTAAAATCAAATTTATGAAAAGCTGGAGATTTTTTGACCCGATGTTCTCTTCTTTGAAAGCACCATTGGAACGCTATAATCCGCCCCTGACCTTAACAGAAAAACAAACAATTCAATTCAATTCATGCATTCATTTTGGCCTTAGATCACTAAGAGCTGATTTGCCAATAATTTTCTATCGTTTTCTCAATATTTGTTTATCAAAAGATAGCTAAAGTTATAACTGAGAAAACGGAGTCCAATTTTCATAGCACCATAACATCTGATAATTTTTAGTCAGAGGCGAAGCTGGACTTCGCAAACTAAAGCAAAAAAACTGTTGAGTGCAAGAAACGAAGGACTGTTGAGTACGGTAAAAAGGAAAATGCAAGAAACTACTAAGATCAACTTTAAATTTAAAAAAACGCTAAAATTTTTCTCGTGGTTTTTCAGAAAAATCTGCGACATGCGTGGTACACAACACTCTCAAAGCTCATTTCTTTAAAGTCACTCTTGGTGTTCTAGAATGACATCGCCACTTACCAGCAACTGAAGACAATGGAGAGCATCTTGCAGACCATGAATGTATCCAACATGGTGGCAGAACTCCTCATGGATTCAGACTCTCAAGACTCTCCCTCATCCACAAACAACAACAACAACAACAGTTGCCACAAAAACATACCACGTAATCAAAACACGCCCAACGACAGACTGCCCAATGGGTTTGGGTCGAATGAAGATTTAACCAAGATTTCATTTTGCCTTCCGAGAGTCACAAGACTTTAAAAGATCTGTTTCTATATATGCTGTATATGCTGCAGTTTCAATTAGTTTTAGAGAACAGAAATAGATATTTCGTAGCTGTCAATCTTATAACTTGAAATACAGATGATGTATTCATTTTAGGCCAACAATTTGTAGGCTTGCAGAACCGCGGAGGCGAGACCAGCAAGTTCGATTTAAATTTGTTTTGTTAAATTAATTACATTACTTTTTTATCAGATCCCGGTATCTTGAGAAATCTACTTTTCAGGAAATTCAAAAATATAGCAACAAAAATAAACCGACTAAGGGGCGGATCTAGGATTTTCTCGAGGGGGGGGGGTGTTGGGGGGCGGATTTTCAAAAAAAATTTGTCGACCTTTTTTTTAGGTCGACCGAATTGATTTTTGAGCTCTCTCTAAGCATGGTTTGGTCTCTTTTTCGGCAAAATTTTCTGCGCCGCAGGCAAAAATTTGGCAAAACCGTCCAAAAAAGGCGTTTTTAGGCACTTTTTGGAAAATTTTGACCAAAAAATTGCGTTTTTTCGGCGCGCGTTCCCCCTCAAAATTGCCCCCCCCCCCCCCCAATCCGCCCCTGAACCGACTTTCAGCGTATTTTGAAATATTTAGTCATACAATTCCATACAAATTGTCCCTAATAAAATGCTGTTCTTAGAAATTCTGCATATGAGAATTTTGCAACTCTGTTTATTTCGGAAAGAGAATTTTTTTTCTTCAAAAGATAAGATTAAATTATAACCCATAGTGATATGTTAAATTATTTTCCAGGCTAGAGATATTATTTTTTTGTAAGAAAAAACGTATCATACAATTTTCATACTTTGAAAATTTGTATGAACAGCATTTTTTGATGGCAAATAATGGAAACGTTCAAAACATCGAGATTTTTTTTTCCCAAGCGATACATAATTTTTTGTCCAAAAAGTACGCCAGACTCTCAAAACAACCAAAAAATCGACTTCAAGTTCAGGCTTGGTTTTCAGGTAGTTAAAAACTCCACGGAAAAATATGTTACTTTTTGAGAAAAAGAGCTAGTCATGCCATGCAAATTCCAGACTATGAAAATTGTATGACTAGCAGTTTTTGAAGCCAATAAGGCAAACTTGTCTTCGATCATATTTATTTTGTCGCAAAATCAATTCTGCATCAAACTCCAAACCATGACGAAACCATAACTTTTTTGTCCAAAAAGTAGTCCAGGTTTGGTTTCAGATTCGGACCTATGGTTAATTATAATCCAGGGTTGAAAGTAGCATAGAGTAATCCGACCAAATAAGGAAAAGGATAATTTTTAGGATAAAAAAATTCAGATATAAAATTCTACTAAGTCGAAGGGTTTCTACCTCGCGGCAAATTTCGTCTAATTTTAGTCTGAAAATCGAAAAAAAATCAGACCACTTTTCTTGACAGAAACGACTTTTTGGAAATTTTTTGGGAATCCGAATCACGAACAATGACTTAAATATGATCCTACACTTGCCCCCTTACGAGCTTTCCTCGAGGTAGCGAAATCGGGCTGGAAAGAATCTCTAGTTCATAATACCTTTCCACTCTTCGAGAGTTGTCGGAACAAAAAGACCAAAATTTTTGCAGTTTTCCAGAGCAAAAATAGTTAGCAGGGTAGATATATTATTTTTGAACTGCGGGCCAGATGTGCGAAAACGATGAGTATAATTTCAAACATTTATTTACGAATGTTATGTTTTTCAAATTGATTTACTCGTGGTTTACAAATTAAACTGAAGCAAAGGAAGCAAAAAATTAACAAAAGCTAAATAAATTGATGCAAAATGAATAAAAGTTTACTTTAAAATCCAGTTAAATAATCATGGTTTTTTTACAGAACCATATTATTACGGCCAGATATTGCAATCTTCTCCTTTGGTCATGGCCTGGTCATCTTTGCATTGGAACACTTCTTTGAACTCTGGAAGCATAGACAAGGTCAGATTAACCCTGGCCCAGACTGGAGGATGAGGTTTCATGGGGTTAAACGTGTTCTTTTCTTCATTCACACTTGCGTCGCAGTGACTTTGAGCGAACGCCACGAAAAACAGTTTTTCGGCCGAAAAGTCTTTCAAAATAGGAGAGTTTTGAAGATTTCTGTTCAACTCGGCCATGTTTTCATTCGACTTCATGGCCTGATAGGCCAACTGAATGCCTGAAATGTCAGCGTAACTTTCGCAGTCTAAGTTTGCTCCGTTTAGATTGGCCTCATCCATCAAGTTTATTCGGCATTGTCTGAAGTTGTTATAATTTTCATTAGTTATTTTATCCCAAGGGTAATTGCCAATATATTGCTTCTGTATACTTCTTTCGTCTAAAGCGTGTGAAAATTCATGGGCCATGATATATACCATGGAACCATAATTAACCGCAACTGGGTTATTGTCTGAATACAAAGGGTCTATCAGAAAAGTCCACATTTGTGCTTTTTGGTCTCGGTGGTAAAATTTCGCATTGACATACAAAACTAAATTTTCCATTCTGGGGGATCCACTGCTTTTGTAAATGTCTTGATAATACTTTTGCAAACTAAGGAGATTTTTTGCGTATGAGTTTTTCTGGGTTGGTTTGACGTCTAAGTTTGCCAGCAATGCATCTGAAAATTCGCATGAAATTTGATCGGGTTTGGGTCGCATTTCAATTTTGTTGAAGTAATCTTTCAAGCCTTCTCTAGTAGTTGCGTTTTCAATCCTAGCGTCAAACCTCTCAGATGCCGCCTGCTTTATATAATTCTGCCATTTGTCCAATTGGTAGAACGAATCGTTTCCGATATAATATTTCATGTAAGCATTTGAGGTCACAAGAGCAAGATACAAATGATCTGGAATCAGGCTTTGAAGGCATTCAATTTCTCTTTTTTGCTCTGGATTTTTATTTCCAGCTTGATTTTCCGTCGCAACCGATCTATCATCATATGTATCATTGCTTTGTACTAGCAAGTAATGCAAAGCACTTATGAACTGTAATTGCATAAAGTTATTAAAGTTAGTGAGGCTGGAGTTCTCCCTCAAACATTTTGAATATTTGGGAAAACTGGCGTTCACAGTGATTTTTAGAGAATCGGAGTCATTTTTCAGAACCTTCTGCACCCATTCAGGCAAAAGGTTTTCGATGGACAACAGAAAATCTTCGTTTTCTTTGTCTAAATCAACACTACCGCTGCTAAAATTACTTAGGCTTCCGTAGTCCTGCTTAAAAATGTCATCAAGAATAGAATCGTAATAATTGTCTGCGTCAATCTCATCTCTGCATTTTTTCAGTTCGTCCATAGAATTGTTGAAAGTGTCAAATAGTTTATCAAGTTTATCGGCCTGCAATATTTTGGACTCTTTCAAAACTAACTTCAAGTAATTAAATGATTTAACATCCTTTTCGAAGACCGCAGCAGATTCTACAGGAAATAGTTTGTTAACGACTCCTTCGTCAGGTATTCCCAAAACAACCCGTTCGATTTCTTGGTTAAATTCAATCAGTTCGTCACCTGGTGCGTATATTCCAAAAAACACATTCCAGAAAACCCCATCGATAGGCCAGTTGAGAGCTCTAAGCGTTTTGTTACCATTTTTACTAGAGTTCTGAAGAGAATCATTCAGGTTGAAATTCAACTGAACTTTGAACGTTTCCATCAAATCTTTCACAATATCAGTGTCTTTCGTGTCCATTTTTTCAACTTTAATTGAAACTTTATCCCCTGATTTGTCAACTTCGACAAACTCGTCCATGCAACTGTGGAAAAATTGGGCTACTTTTATTTCAGATTCACAACTGTTTTCTTGTTCCAGAATAGTTTTGAATAATCTTGGTAGAATACTAAGCGTAGCGTCGAACGATTCATACTTGAGTGATTTCTGAAACTCTTCAAGGTCAATTAGGGTATGACTAAGGAAGTTTCCGCAACTGTACTCATAAAAGTTTTCACAAGGGTCTGCGTCTAAGTTCATAGGCGCAATCACTTTGGCTTGCTGGACCGACTCTTGTTCAGTGAGTTCGGTCTGATCATTGCTCGAATTGTCGGAATATTTAGTGGAGTGAATATACAGAGATAGAACTACTAGGAATGATGTGAAAAGGAAAACGTAAACAGTAACTTGAAGTGCTATAAAAACAGTCGTCCGAATATTGGGCATTTTAAAAGCCTCACAATTAACAATTCGAAGAGGCAGCAAAGTTTCAGGTATGTTAAAATGAAAATGAAGTTTTAAGGGATCAAACTGAATCAAGCCGAGATACTAGTGACAATGGGTTTTAGCAAGCTGAAACTTTACTGGACAGTGCAAGCGTAAATTTATTTTATCATTCGAGTTTCATTATGAACACTGGGAAAGCCCATGTAGGCAAACAAGACGAAACTTCCCAATCCGCCTCGATTTGAAAATGTCTTCCCACAAATTTCAGTAAAAAGATTTAGGAGAGAGAAAAAGGCTTCAATGGACCCATTAGAGATTTTTAAGAACAAGTTTATATTTCAAAAAAACTCACCGGGGATCGAACCACAGGTATTTTGTTCCCAAGTCGCTTGCTTTACTTCTAGACCAGATGTGTACGGACCTGCATGATTTCGAGGTTCAATAAAACAGCAAGTTATTACATAAATTCGTAGTTACATGGTGAACAAGAAAGAAAAATAAAAGGTTTTTGATGAGAAAAGAGTCTAGTCCCCCATAAAAAATCATTTTCTCTCGCAAGTGAAAGAAGCAATCAGTTAAAATGATTTGTATTAAATATTTATGGACCATATGCTAAGAGAGTAACTTCTAGTAATTTAAATTTATCAAGCCACCGACAAGCCGACAAAAATTGAACCATGACAATGAAGCCAAAAATATAATAATGACATGTTTTTGAATGTATGTTTGATTTGTCAAACTTAACTATAATCAGAATAAAGCTTTAAGACTTCAGCAATGGAAATTCTATTTTTACTACCTTATTTTAACTTACCTGTACGAATTTTTCTTTGTTTTTAAAAATTGTTATAGCTGCAAACTTTCACCATTGAGATCGATAATATCAGCGTTTCTAAATTACTAGCGTGTAACGCACCTTCGGTGCATCGAATTTATGACAACTCACAAAACCGCGGATATTAGAATTAATATTTGCATCCATTGAATGTACTCTAACAGCAAACAATTACAGGGTTGGTAATTTCAAATTTTGCATAGTTATTCAAATTTTTTTAATCAAAATTTTGTGAATTTTTTAACCATACAATTTTGTGGATTTTTTTAATATCCAAGTTCGTTGAAAATTTTTAAAATGACAGAAAAACGCCATTTATTGGAAACTAAAAGCAATGGAGCAGTCGCATTTGGACCCAAGATTTGCAACTTCTGAGAGTACTCACAGCACCCAACTACAGGGTTGGGAACTTCAAGTTTTGAGGAAGTTCAAATTGAAATTCTCAATTTTTAAAAAAAAAAAAGTGACATATCTCCAGAACTACAAAAATTTGAGCACTCATATTTGGAGGCAAAAATTGCAACCCCTGAGAGTACTCTGACAGCCCCTAACATCAGATTAAAAATTGCAAACTTAATTGAATTTAAGTTTTCTGAAAACTTTTTTGAAAAGAAAAACACAAAAAACGTCATCTCGAAGACTAACACGATTAAAGCACTCACAATTGCAGGAAAAACTCGCAAACCCTTGAAATGCCCTGACAAAGCCTCAATATAGAGATAGGAATTTAAATTGTCTTTATCTAATTCTTTGAACATTTAAAAAAAAAAGAAATTACAAACGTCACATCTCGGAAACTAAAAGCATTTGAGCAGTTGCAATCGGATGCAAAATTTGCAAAATGAAACTCCTGAGAATACCCTAGCAGTACCCCAGTACAAGTTTGAGATTTTCAATGCTTTTTAAATATTATTCATATTTATATTAAATTTTTAAAAGTTTTTAAAATCTAAGTTTTCTGAAAAAAAAAAAAAAAAATAAAACATATCACGTCATATCTCAAAAACTACAAAAATTTGAGCGGTCATATTTAGAGACAAGATTCGCAATTCCTCACAGTGCCCTCACAGTTTCACACTACATGATTGAGATCTTCAAACTTATTTATTTTTTTAAATCTAAATTTTGGAAAATTTTTGAAAAATTCTAGAAAACGTCATATCTCGAAAACTACAAGGATATGAGATGTCATATTCAGAGGCAAGATTGGCCACCAATGTGACTACCATCTCAGTTTCCAAGTACAGGATTGAGATTTTCAAAAATTTTGAATTTTTTTCAAATCTGTTTTTTGAAAATTTTTGAAATTTTCAAAATTGAACGTTACTAGAGATTTTTTGAAAAATCTCGAAAATTGCCGTATCTGAGGCCTGGGTTATTCCCCAGGCCAAATTTGCAACACCTGGGGAAGCCCTGACAGCATCCATATATTGGGTTACTAATTTCAAACTTGGTGAAATAACCACTGAATTCAAACTCGAAAAAAAATCTTAACCATTGCAATATACGATATAGCTTAAACGTGAAAAAAATAATGCAGAAATAATACGCTGAAAAAAACTTACACATGGCGAGATAGTAAAGCTCGCATTTAAATATATAATATATTTTGATAGCCTAGCTTTCCTAAAAGCTCAGCTCTTCTCAGTTTTTTATCAAACTTTCTTTGATTATCAGTTATGCTCAAAAAAGATCAATAAAAAACGTACCCTAAGTTCATCTTAATGTACCACTCGGATTATTGCAACAAGCCTTGCTTCATAACCGGCCAATCAGAGTCAATTCAACCAAGGAAAACTTCGAATTGGAGCATTTCACGGGTTCAATGAGCGAACAAAAAATTTAACATAGAAAAGTTTTCCCAAATTCAAATAAGGCGTCTGAAACCTCGCCAGATCTTTAACATAAACTGGCGAACTGTGGGGACTTTATTGATAAATGTTTTGATGTTACAAAACAATTTTCAACAATTGCATTTCGAAGAAAAATATGTCATTTTCAAGATTCTTTTAAGATTGACAATTTTTAGGAAATCATTTTTTTGGAGTGCCCAAATTAGGGTGCCGGACATCACGCCGACGGGACTTCAAGCCGAATCATAAAATTAGGGACTTCAAGCCGAAAATTTTCTCATTAAGTTATGAAACATGATTATTTTGGGAACTTTTTTTGAAGAAATTTTTCAGTTTCATGATCTTTCTTTACCAGTTTTTGGCTTTTCCATAAAATTTGCGCCCCTAATAGATATTTAGGAAAGTTAAAAACTAAAACAATGTTGAAAGCAATTTTTTTAGTTTATAATTTATGCATTTTAAAAACCGGCTGATATTATTAACGGATGCCACGCCTAAGTGATGAGTTGTCATGAGTAACCCTTATTATGAACTAAACTTGCCTAAATTTTTGAAAAGCAATACTTTACAGATGAATAAATAGTGATTTGAGGTGCTTGTGTAGTTTGAATTTCGGCCTGAAGTGCCTTCGGCTTGAAGTCTTGTCGGTTTGTTGCCCTAGACCCCGGAAATTCTTCATGCGTATAATATGTATATCACAATCGTTTCTTAAGTAAAACACAATTCTAGCATATAAGGTTGGCCAGTCAATAAGCAGAATGTTCTAAGAGCAGAATGGGTCCAGGAGCAGAAAAACAGAAAAATATCAACTTTTATAATTAATCAGTAAATTAAGTCTTAATGATTTCAATTTTCAACAGATAACATAACGTCCATTGAAACTACTAATTTCATTTTGCAGTGTACATTTTTTTCCTTTTGTGCAGATCATTTGTTGTTTTCTTATTGTGATATATTGATTATTTTCAGCTCTACACACAACTGTGTAGGAAACAATCCTGCTGTTGACCTTGACCGTCAATTTGTAAATGTTTCTTTACTGGGGTCTTATGCACTAAACGGCCCAAAATCAAGGTTTATATCTAGAGTTGAAACTTATGCGGTCGAATCTGATTGGCTAATATTAGCCATTCAAATACAAGAAACCTGTTCAGGCAATTCAATCAAAACTTTCAGCAGCTAAAATATTAGCCGAAATTACCAAAATATGAAACAGTATAAATTTTTTTTCAACCAACTGAAATTTGGCCCGGACAAAAAACATTTCGTAAAGTTGTTTCAGCAGAATAATTTTTTTTCTTAATTTTGGTTATTTCGGCCAGCAATTTAATCTGCTTGATGTTTTAATTAAAATCCGGTCCATGTTGTTTGAGTGTCTGATTAGCCAATCAGAACCAACCTTACTACTTTGAGTTCAAGAAATGTATAAATACCGATTTTGCATAAGACCCCTTTACTGTCTTGTCTGTTCTCAACTGCTACTGTACTGCATTTTTGCACTGAGCTAAATTATGGAAGTTTAGCTCAGTAATCGCATCAGAAACTACCTTCTAAAATGGGTTTTCTTCATACTGGGAAAATTGCTCTCACCCTCATAGAAAGCACCTGAAAGTGGCTTCAGGTACTTTCTATGATGGTTGGAGCAATTTTCCCAGTATGAAGAAAACCCATTTTAGAGGGTAGTTTATGATGTGATTACTGAGCTAAGCTCCCATACTTCGTACAAAGTACATTTACAGTAGCAGTTGAGAACAGACAAGAATGCTCGTATATCAGAGCAAAGCCCTGAATGTTCAGACTGTCCCTTACTCCATATCGATCAGTTTTTGGGGAAAAAAACATTGAAAAATTATCAATTTTGGACAAAATTAAAAATCAAGTGTGAAAAAACCATGTTACAATATTATAACGACCGATTAGCTTAGCAAGCCTCAATTCAATTTGGAGCGAGTTTTTTGTGCGGGATAACTTGTTACACAAATAGTTTGCGTTACGCTTTCAGCATTGTGAATAAAATCTTCAAAGAACGCATAACTTAGTAAGTCCAGAGCATGGCCAAATTGACAATTTTTTAACTCCCAGAACTTTTCGAAAAATGATCGGAGGTAAAATATCTTTTCAAATTGGATTTCAGAGAGTCGATATCTTCAATGTGGTTAAAAAACGCCTTAAATATACAAAAAAAAAACGTTTTTTCAAATTAATGTCATTTTTTTCCGCAATATATGATAAAAAGATCTGAACAAAAATTAGAAGTTAGGCATATTCGAGAGTCATAGTTAAATAGGCAACAACAGCTTTTGTAGAAATATGACTACAAAAACTTAAAAAAAAACATTAAAAAATCAAAATTCATTTTTTTAAATTGTTTTGGCAGAAACTCCAAAAATGAACTTTGATCGAGCAAAACTAAATTTTCACATCTTAGAGCAGGGGCACAATTAGATATAACAGCCTTTTAAAACCTGCTCGCTAGCTTTATTCGCTCGAACTTAGGCTAAAAATCAATAACTTAAAACCTGTTTTTCTCGATACTGGGACACTTTTTGAAAAATTCTTTAGGATGGTTCTAAACACGATTGAAAGGGCTTTGATATGATAAATAACTCAACCAATCCAATGATTATTTGCGGCACGTTGAAAAAACTATAAAACAACAAAGTTCCTCCCCATTTTAAATGGTTGGAGCGAAAACTGTAACAAAATTGGTTCCATGAGTAAGAAAAATGCACGTTAAATCAGCATCGAAACAAAACACACAAATAAATGCGAAGCTTCGTTTCGCAAACACTGGCGAAAACACGACAAAAACAGCTTTATTAAGTACAATAAGAGCATAAATAAGCCTCGAATTAGCAAAAGTTCGAGATTCGAACCTGCAACCTAGAGATTAAGAGTGACGCACACTAACCACGGAAACTTCTTACTAAGTTGACGCTAGTGTAAGTTACAAAGCAGACAATTCTTGACGGAGACACGTTGCGCTGAAAAAAAAAGTTTTTGGTAAAAACTTCAAAACCTAAAAAGTTAGGTCCCCCTCAAAACAATTAAATATAACATTTTTGCTCCTCAAACGACTCAAAAAGAGGCCTCCAAACCGATATAATAAAAGCCGAAACCTTTTTAGCCTAATAAACAGAATAGCAGAAAAAAATCATCCGTACTGAAACACAAAAGCTCGAAAAAAAGTTTGCATTCGAAACTACGCAATATTAGCTGAAGACACCGATATCATGCGCCAAAACCATTTAACAGAAAAAAAAACAAAAAAATGCATAAAACTAAATTAGAATTGGCAAATTTACACAAATTCCACAAAATCAGAGTTGGTCGCCTTAATCTATAGAATGAATTTCACTTATATTTTAAATTGCTTTTATAAGAAAAAGAATGATCCTTTGAAGGACCTCCATGCTTTGGACATATGATCCTCGATTTTCCCCAAAAAATTATAATTTTCAAATAAAAAAAAACAAAGTTCATTCGGAATGTTATGAAGGTGTGTTTTACCACTAGATAACGTGCGAGGCGCCTGAATGATGTTGAGGTTCCATGATAAAGCGAGGTCAATTTCTTACAGATCTACAAAAAAGTCTTATATTCTCAAGTAGCTCGCTTTACTTCTAGACCAGGTGGAAAGGGTCCTGAAAGATTTCGAGGTTCTATAAAAGGGCAAGGTATACATAAATACGTAGTTCCATTGACAAAAAGAACACAAGGTCCGGTCGGACCTCGCACCTAGGACCTGTCACGTAAACAAACAGTTAAAAATGAGGAAAAATCCGAGTTCCCGATTATAAATCATTTGCTCTTCCAAGTGAAATAATAGATCAGTTTAAATGATTTGTAATTTATTTTGATTGACCATATATGCCTCAAGAGTATTTTCCAGTAATTTGAATTTATCAAGCCATAAACAAAACGACAGAAATTGAACCTTTACAATGAAGCCAAAAATATAATACTTTTATGTTTTTGAATGTGTGTTTGATTTGTCGGAGACATATCGCGCCGAAAAAAAAATGTTTTCATTAAAAACTTTTAAACCGAAAACAAATTAACTCCCCTTAAAACAATTAAATAAAACTATTTTGCTCCTCAAGCGACTCAAAAAGAGGCCTCTGAACCGATATATTAAAGCGTTAAAACTTAATCAAAACAGGAAAAATGAACAAAAAAAAATCACCCATATTGAAGGATTCATAAGCTGAAGACACCAATATCATGAGCCAAAACCGTTTAAGCGCAAAAAAAACAAAAAAAATATAACTAAATTAGACTCCGTAAATTTAGTCAAATTTCAATTAGAGTAAAAACTGTTCAAATCAAACTAAAGCTCATGCTTTATAAAGTAAGCTGATAAAAAACCGTTCCAGATTTTAAAAAAAACGGAAGCCGACGATAACTAGGACAAAAACCACAAATCCGAAAAAATCGTTCTTTCACAAAAATTCTTCGAGAAAACCATTATTGGCTGAAACAGACACCGCCTAATTACTACCTATATGATAGTAGTTTTACTTAAACTTTTATTAAATTGAGCGTGTCAGCTATTGAGGGTAAAATTCACTATTCCTACTAAAATTGACCATTCTGTGAACAAAGTTGTTTACAGGGAAAACAGTCTAGCACCCGATTGCAACAACCTTGCTTATCGCAATGATAATAATATATATCCTATAATCTGCGGAAATCGATCTCTTATGAATAAGTTTCAAATAACACAAGTTGCGCTTTTGGAAAGAGAAAAACTCATAAATCTATTTCTATTAGTAACCGAGTGTCCATTCTCGAATAATTGCACTCGGGTAATTCGCATTAAGTTCACATTACCTGAACTTAAAAACTTCCGGTAATTTGTGGAGGATTACACCTGTCTACGAAAACATTTTTTTACAAATTTATAATTTTCACTTCAAAATAGGAATACTAGCACCTACAGAAGACAACACGGATCTGACACTAAGAGCTAAAAATGCGTTATCCGAGTTTGATTTGAGCCACAACTGTTGTAAATGTGGTATCAAGTTTTTCTGCTCAAAAAGTTTTTTCTGTGACCTCACTTTACAGATTCTTTGCAGCACGACCATCAATTTCTCTAGCAGCTGCGATTCTGGATTCGAATCTTGCAATAACTTCGACAACTTCTCGGAAATTAAATTGTCCAATGAAGACGGGAGGGCCTCGTTCGGTTCTAAATTAGAATCCAAGGAGAGTTGCACGAACACATCCAACAGTGCTGAAAACTCTGCTGGCTTGTGGGTATTTAACAGAAATGATATGTAGCTAGCACCTCGTATTTGAGCAAACAAACTCTTCGACTCTGTAAGATTGAGCTCTTTCTTCAATTGAGCAGCTGATTTTATCAACCTGTAAGTATCGTTACAAGTCTTCATTAAAACTAGAACCGACAGCAGTCGGTTTTTCGGTTCTTCGCTTGAACAGAGCTTTTCTGGGTTACTTGAAGTAACTTGATCTTCAGCTTTTGAGTCCATACTTTTAAATATCACTTCACTAAAATTTCGCAGCAAAGAACTCGGATATGAGCTAGAGGTTTCTGATTTTTCAGAAAAGTACAATATCCAGTAGACAAATTGTAAAATTGAGCACTCCAAATCTGCTGATAAAACAGGGTTCAGATTTGAATCCGACAATATAAGGCTTTTGACAGTAATGGACATTAGATGGTTTGATTTGCTTATGATTTCTTCTATACTAGGAAGAGTTGTATCTTTATACGCTTCGAACTGTATTTTATTTATCCAATCGAACTGTCTGGTTAAAATCTCGGCGCTGGTAAATTTTGAAGTTTTCGTAACTTCATTTTGGATCAAATCACAGTGCGTTCCTCTAGAAACAAGTTTTGCTTTAGGTTTTGTTCCCGAAAAACTTTTGGTTACGACCTGACTACTCGTTTTTTGTTGTCTAAGCAGATTTTTTAGCCGTCCATTGGCCGAGGTAAGTTGGGTTTGCACTTGCGAATTTTTACTTTCAAGGTCAGTTATTTTACCTTTCTGTCGATCACATGTATCTTTCAACATGTTGAAACTTCCTTGAAGGCGCTTGATTTCCGCATTTTTCTCCCTCAGTTCTTTTTCCAGCTGAGAAATGTTAGATTCCATCTGTCTTTTGCAAAGATTAATCGCCACTGAAATCTTCTCGTGAACTGAAGAATCGAAATTATGTTTCACTTCGTAAAGTGACGCTTCGAAATTCACAACTCGCTTCTCTTTCTCAGTGAGCTGCACTGAAAAACAGTTCAACTCCTCTTCTCTCTGTTCGACCACTTTCGCTCTTCTTAAAATTGTCTCTTCGAAATCTTTCTGTCGTTTTGCTTCCTGTTTTAACTTCTCACTTATTCGACAAAGTTCCTCGTAGACGGCAACATGTGTTTCGCTATTCACATCATTGCAGCAAAAGTTAGCATTGGGCGCAATATGAATACTATCAAGATCCACATCGCCATAGTGAGAAACATATTTAGAGTGACCTTTGTTTACGTCAATCGTAAGAGGTTCTGTTAGTGTTAAGTCGGTTTCTGAAGTATTTGCTGATGACAGGATTGATGAATTGAGCTCAAAATCAGAATTCATGTCTAAACTGAAAAATAAAGGAAAACAGTCAAATTAAAATTCTCTTCAATATGACACCCGGGTTGAATATTCTACCCGGGAAAAAATTCCCCTATCTTACAGCTTATAAGATTTGCTGGAAACTTCCGCTATCTTACGTCTTTCCAATCTTGTAACATTCTTAGCACCGGCTTCTTCCTTTTCCCACCCACTTCACATAAGCATCATTTTTTTGGTGTAACGAGGGGTTTTACAAGGTTAAACTTGAAGAACAAATATATGTTTCTCATGCCAATTGTAACATTCAGCAGATATGAACAAAAAAGTAAAATTTTGCAGCGGGGTAGGGGGGGGGGGGGGGAGCCTTAGCATCTAATTCCGTATAAACTTGCTGGATTCTTACAGAAGTTTTAGATAGCGGCTTTTGGTCAACCCGGTCAAACAAATTTACAAACATAGCCAACTGACAGTTGGAAAAGAGTAATGAACGCAAGAAAACTGAAAAAACGAGATTTGATTTTTCAAAAATCTCCAACTTTGAAATTTCGAAAAAAAATTAGATGGCCTTGAAGCTCTTTGAATTTGTAGAGCAAATTATGATGGACACTTTTCTGCTATAGTAAACCCAATTTGAGAAAACTGGATCAATAGGTAAAACTTTTTTTCCCTGGGAAATCTGATAATTATTTCCATTTTCAAACTTAGAAACCAATCACATTTTTCGTGATCTTTACAATTTTGCTGTTTGATAGTGGAGTTTGCCTTCTTTTTAACAATAGAATAAAAAAAAATTTACAAGTCAAACCGCAAAAAAATCAAAATTGAGCGTGAACAAATTTTAAGACTGTCCTGAAAAAAAAAATCAGCAAGACCTATATAAGAGTCTTCACTACGTTCACTACTCTCAATAATTAGTTTTCGCACAGAAGCGAAGTTCTACATCGCACACAAGCAAAAATATGACCGATATCGCTACTGGGAAAACTGAATGAGTAAAACATTGAGTCTACAAAATTTCTCAAGTGACCCACGCCAATTATGAGTCTACATAATTGCTGAGTGACGCAAGCCAATTATGACGCATTAGCACTTCCAATCAATCCAAAAAAAAATTACCAACTAACATGCCTCAATTTATAGAGCGGACGCATTTTGACTAATACACGAAAAATTTCATTAAAAACATCCGACCCTGCCCAGGTTCGAACCCTCTTATTTTGTTGAGGGTCTCCTTCCCTACCTCTACGCTACAGGTCCATGATACCTTGAAGCTTAAGTGCTATTTGTAATTTAATAGTCTGAGTTAATATTCTTAGCATTGACTGTACTTTAAAGGTTATTGATCTTAACAAATTTCATTGCAGCAAAAGTTAGCATTGGGCGCAATATGAAGACTATCAAGATCCACATCGCCATAGTGAGAAACATATTTAGAGTGACCTTTGTTAACGTCAATCGTAAGAGGTTCTGTTAGTGTTAAGTCGGTTTCTGAAGTATTTGCTGATGACAGGATTGATGAATTGAGCTCAAAATATGAAGACTATCAAGATCCACATCGCCATAGTGAGAAACATATTTAGAGTGACCTTTGTTAACGTCAATCGTAAGAGGTTCTGTTAGTGTTAAGTCGGTTTCTGAAGTATTTGCTGATGACAGGATTGATGAACTGAGCTCAAAATCAGAATTCATGTCTAAACTGAAAAATAAAGGAAAACAGTCAAATTAAAATTCTCTTCAATATGACACCCGGGTTGAATATTCTACAAAAAATTCCCCTATCTTACAGCTTATAAGATAAGCTGGAAACTTCCGCTATCTTACGTCTTTCCAATCTTGTAACATTCTTAGCACCGGCTTCTTCCTTTTCCCACCCACTTCACATAAGCATCATTTTTTTGGTGTAACGAGGGGTTTTACAAGGTTAAACTTGAAGAACAAATATATGTTTCTCATGCCAATTGTAACATTCAGCAGATATGAACAAAAAAGTAAAATTTTGCAGCGGGGGGGGGGGGAGCCTTAGCATCTAATTCCGTATAAACTTGCTGGATTCTTACAGAAGTTTTAGATAGCGGCTTTTGGTCAACCCGGTCAAACAAATTTACAAACATAGCCAACTGACAGTTGGAAAAGAGTAATGAACCCAAGAAAACTGAAAAAAAAAACGAGATTTGTTTTCTCAAAAATCTCCAACTTTGAAATTTCGAAAAAAAATTAGATGGCCTTGAAGCTCTTTGAATTTGTAGAGCAAATTTTGATGGACACTTTTCTGCTATAGTAAACCCAATTTGAGAAAACTGGATCAATAGGTAAAACTTTTTTTCCCTGGGAAATCTGATAATTATTTCCATTTTCAAACTTAGAAACCAATCACATTTTTCGTGATCTTTACAATTTTGCTGTTCGATAGTGGAGTTTGCCTTCTTTTTAACAATAGAATAAAAAAAAAATTACAAGTCAAACCGCAAAAAAATCAAAATTGAGCGTGAACAAATTTTAAGACTTTGTCCTGAAAAAAAAAATCAGCAAGACCTATATAAGAGTCTTCACTACGTTCACTACTCTCAATAATTAGTTTTCGCACAGAAGCGAAGTTCTCCATCGCACACATAAGCAAAAATATGACCGATATCGCTACTGGGAAAACTGAATGAGTAAAACATTGAGTCTACAAAATTTCTCAAGTGACCCACGCCAATTATGAGTCTACATAAATGCTGATTGACGCAAGCCAATTATGACGCATTAGCACTTCCAATCAATTCAAAAAAAATTACCAACTAACATGCCTCAATTTATAGAGCGGACGCATTTTGACTAATACACGAAAAATTTCATTAAAAACATCCGACCCTGCCCAGGTTCGAACCCTCTTATTTTGTTGAGGGTCTCCTTCCCTACCTCTACGCTACAGGTCCATGATACCTTGAAGCTTAAGTGCTATTTGTAATTTAATAGTCTGAGTTAATATTCTTAGCATTGACTGTACTTTAAAGGTTATTGATCTAAATGAACACTTTCAAAATGAACCCTTTCACATTTTGCCGCAACAATATTTGCGACTTAGGTTTGAAAAAAAAAGAGAGTTCATACTATAACACAAGCTTTGCTTGTGTAAATAAACAGAACCTAATCTGCAGATCGTAGGATAGAATTATTTCGTTTTAAGTCCTAAACAAAATTTTAGCTCCATTGATTCGTCTTCAGCCATCAGTATATGTTTTTGATATCAAAAGTTTGTTACCAGGAACCGATGTCTCCCAATTTTGTCCATCGACTTTGTGGAAGTTCACTGATTTCACAGTTTTGCTGTCAATGCATCGGTACATTATACCGTATCCATTAGGATTTGAACGAGGTCGATAAAATGATTCTGTCCCACAGAACTTGCAGAAGAGATGCTGTGCAGTTTTGGTATTAAACTCGTAAGTGATCAGACAATCAGTCCCTGTTAGCAGGCGAAACTTGTCTTCATGTACAATACAATGAAACAGCGACTTCTTGAAGCAAATGGAACAATTGCAATCAAACACGTCAAGATCACCTGAACTGATAAACTCCCAGCTCACTTTGCCACAATGACAACTTCCTTTATGACAGACTTCATTTTTACCATGTGATGCATTATCCATACTACAATCTTAACTGCAGCAACGCCTCATCTAGAATATTGAATCAATTTTAAAAAAGTGTTCTTTTTTACTATTGAAGAAATCAATAATCCAAACAAGATGGTAACAGCAGCAGGACGTTAATACTTCTAACCAAATCGGTAAAGAGGAAGTAACTAATTTCCAAACAGCAAACAGTAAAAACTAACCTACTTTTGGATCCGAGCGCCCAAACTACTGAACATAGTACAGATGGGGTAATCGACAAAATTACAATCACAAAGCTACCCCAAATGTTCTTCCGAGAAAAATTCAACGAGGTTAACTCATGCACATGGCGAGTGCTATGCATTTGTGGAATCTGCAACACCCTGAAAAACTCAATTTTGTGCAAGATGAAAACTGAGGGGTGAAAACCCTTGGACAATTGTCCTAAAGCCGATTGTACTACTACTACTTCTACCTCACACGCATAGTTTCACACTAGTGGATAAAATTGAGTGCAAAATAGGTTTTTACTCATACTTCAAAAATATGCATATACAATTTTAAGGTCTTTTTCACTAGTCTACTTTCGAAACTAGAAGTCAATCATGCATTTTGTGACCTTCACAATTTCGCCGCTGCTTGGTTGTGGAGTTTGCCTTCCTTTTAACCAATAAAATACATTATCTGTGATCAACTTTTGTTCACAAGACAGCAGATTAACTTCAATTATGATACGGTCTCCTCGCTGCTTGCGATTACTTTTGCAAATGTGAAATCGTAACGATCAGCACTCTACTCCTATCGCATCAACATGCTCAACTCGATACCGTCTTTGCTGAATAAATTTCTGCCAATGTCGCTAGTCCCACGGGACTCATTGATTAAAATTCTCGAAGAAGTTTCCAAAATGCAAAGCCATGCTCGTGATCGACTTTCACTAGTCATTCCGATGGACGAAATTCTATCCGACGTGGTCACTATCAAAGAAGGCTTGCTAATGAAGATTGCCATTCCACTAGCTTCTCGGCAAACGTAACTTACGGTCTTCCATGCCATTCCAGTCCCGATGCCACAGTACGAGAAGGATAAAGCGATTATGTGGAAAACAGAAGCTCCCTACTTGGCAATATCAGAGGACAATATGGAAACTGCAGTATTAACAAAGTACAACCTGAAACACTGCCTTGGATCTTCAAGATATCAGATTTGCCACGGAATTCCGTAATTCCGTATAAACTTGCTGGATTCTTACAGAAGTTTTAGATAGCGGCTTTTGGTCAACCCGGTCAAACAAATTTACAAACATAGCCAACTGACAGTTGGAAAAGAGTAATGAACGCAAGAAAACTGAAAAAAAAAACGAGATTTGTTTTCTCAAAAATCTCCAACTTTGAAATTTCGAAAAAAAATTAGATGGCCTTGAAGCTCTTTGAATT